GGTGTTTCAGGGCTACACAAGATTTGGGTCGGTTGTGTTCACCGCGCATTCGAGCCCAATACACCTTCGTCGTGTCGAGTGCTGGCGTTTTACTAAAGACTTGTGAGATGTGACCATGGTGAGTCTATCTTGTACTACCACACTAAAAGCCGTATAGTGAGCCACTCATTCGGGCGTTTCGGCTGACGTTGATCGATCAGCGTTGATCTCCCTAGCCTATCGGTCCCCCGCTCGATCCTGGGATCGCTCGTTCGTGGAAATCGATCGACTTAGCTGTCGTAGTGGAGCCGATACACTTTTCTTTTTTCGAAAACGCGCGCGGCACGAGAGGCGTAGAAGAGAGACTGGCGTGCCCCGCGCCCGGCTGGCAGTAGGAGGGTACGCCGGTGAGACCCCTGGTTTTGGTGCCCCCAGCAGCAGAGCGCTGCTGCTGGGGGGGGGTCCCGACCCCCCCAGCACCAGACCCCTAATGGTGGGGGGGGGGGGGGGGGTCGGCCATGCCTTTAGATGTGCAGGGGGGGGTACCGAGCAGTGGGTGCGGCCGCTCCCACCCCCGCGCCCGCGCCCGCAGCGTCCGTGCGCGCGAGGATGGCGGCGACGCGCTCCTTCTGCCGAGCCTTCGCCTCCGCCTTCTCCTCCTTGGCGTCCGCCTCCATGACCCGCACCACCTGCTCCCTCCACACGGCGACCCGCCCGGCCAGCCCTGTTCACAACGGGGTTCCCTACAATCTGGCTTTCATACGTCGCCACGAGCTGTGTCGCGTTTGGACCGGGTCGCCAGGGAGGTCCCGGCAAGCATTGACCGCCAAGCTCACATAATTGCTCCCAATCGAGACGAGAGTACATGTACATGTTCTCCAGACGAGAGCATATGCCATTCAAGCTCTCCATTCTCCTTGCCCTCGTGGCCGATCCCAATGAGTTCTGTGGCGGTGACGGAAAGCTATGTCACGAGAACACCTGCAACAACCTGTTGCAGTACGCGTGCGGTGTCCTATCGTGCTGCTCGTGCCAAACATCTTCTGTACTCACGGCTTCAGGGCTCTGCACGTATCAGCACTGCTCCAACGGCGTCGCATTTTGCCTCCAGGTCACTGAGATTGCTGGAGGTACCCTGCTCTCTGACAGGGAGCGCAAGAGCATCGTGAGCTGCGACGGCAGCTTCGTCCCCAACATCACCGCCGCTTGCGATGAAATCCACGAGCCGGGCAACGACCATATAACCATCGGCTACGATTCGACTTGCGACCCGAGGTGGAACAGCGCTGGCTGCGAGTGTGTGCGCCTCTCTTGAAACAACTGTTGGTCTTGCACACCGCGTCGCGTGCCCTCTCCCCAGCGACGAGCGGACACGCCGTGCCGCGTGCTGAGCCCGCGCGCCCCGTCTGCAGGACGATCCCTTACTTCCTCCCGTTCGTTCCGGCGCGCTCGCCTCTGCCACCGCCGCCGCCACCCTCACCTCGTCCGCCGAATCCGCCCACA